AGATGATCATAAAGCATGAGTGAAATATCGCACAGGCAACTGAAATCTGCTCTTTCTATGAGATACACGACAAAACATTACTCATACCAGAAGACATCAGTCATTTCTACCCTTGATTTTTTTAATGTAGGACATAAATAACTTTCTCCTGTTCTCCCTTTACAATACCAACTCGTGTTCTTTGTTTTTCACAGACCACTTCATTTAGTTTGATTTAACTTTGCTTTTTTTATATGAACCACACCGGATGTGAAGATGCAAACTCATCTTCACAGAAGAAAAAAAAAAGCCCCATTTGAGCAAAGTGGCACACTGTGCTGCTTAAAAAAAAAAAAAAAAAAAAAAAAAAAAAAGCGTACCTCTGGGAAATGCACCGACATGTCTTGACGTAGACTCTCAGGGGAGTTTGCAACACCAAAACATTGCAATGTCAACAGCTGACATACCTATCAAACAACAAGACACACCCTACAACAGCTGTAGTGACCTTAGAAATCAGGCAAAGACAAAGATTGTGCATCAATAATGCACAGCTGTGAAGTACAGCAAACAAATACAGTGTCTAAAAATATGCAGCAGAAAGCTGCACTGCATTGAGGTTTATTAATAGCCCAAGCTGTACTTTGTGTTCCCCTTTTAACGAGTAAAACACACCAGTATTATTGCAACAGCAGTTTAATTAGACATCAATAAATAAACCCTTAACACAAGTATAAATGGTTTTTTTGTGATGCTGCCACTTTAAGGTGTAGAAACAAACAAACAAAACCAAGATGTTTCATTGACAGCCAAAACTACCCACGGAGCAGAAAATGACAGCAACATAAACAAGTCAATAGTTCATTTGGCGTGAACGTTTTAAAGTAGGGCTGGGCGATATGACCCAAAATTCATATCTCGATATTTTTTACCTGGATGGCGATATAAGATATATATCTCGATATTTATTTTTAAAGCCATAAGTTAAGAACAAAAAGAGAGTTCTTAGTCACACTGTGTCCCAGATGTCACACGGGCACTTTTATTTACATACAGCGTAGATGTACACGAAGAAATTACTCAAAAATAAATTATCAGCATTTATTAAATAATCATGGTCTATAAATAAAAGAAAACAATGTTGTTTTTGTGCATAACAAAAAGCTCACAATTGTGCAGTGAAAATGTAAACTAATAGACGCTGAGCATAATAACAAAGAGACAGATTTCACAGCTGCACCACGTCTCTGAACAGGTGCCATTTGTGGTCCTTATACACACACAGTACGTATCACTCCGCGAGGCTCCTCCTCGGTAGCCGTAATCCTCCGACAATCCATCAAGCGGTCATATTAAAACATTTTTTGACAGATTGCTGAGCGCTGTGTATCACATAAAATCGGTTCGCGGTCAGTAAGCACAACCAGAATTCATACATAAGGCGCACTGTCGATTTTTGAGAAAATGAAAGGATTTTAGGCCGTGCAGCTCCTCCGGGCTGCATGTCGTTAGCGTGGTTAACTCGCTAACACGTTGACGCCGTCCAGCCCCACGCACGGGGCGATCCGCGGTAACTCGCTAACGGAGATTTTCCGCTTTCATCTTGTCATTGCCTGCAGGTGAAGCTATGGGGGAGGGGGAGTTGTGTTCAGTGAAGGAGAGGCGAGGCCGAGTAACGTTGCGTAGAGACAAAAGTGGACGAAAGAGAGGCAAACCTGCGGCTCCACAAGTATAATTATAACGTAACATAGACTATATCGATATAAACGATATTGTCACATCTTATATCTCGTATGAAAATATATCGATATTTTTTTAAAAACTCGATATATCGCCCAGCCCTACTTTAAAGTGTAACTCATGTAACTGCATCCCTACAGGATGTGAGCTGGAATAATCAGCATCAGCGAGATGTTCTTTCCTGCAGAGCAGATGTTAAATCTCAGAGATCCCAGTCCAGTTGTGTAGTAGACACATCGGAAGACACAATCCAACCGCGCTCTGCCTCCTCTTCCTCCTCCTGCTCCACTGAAAACATGCCAGCAGTCTTCGCTTAAAGAAACTTCTTCTCACACCGACTCGTCGTTTCTACTCGTCTTTGTTTCTCACAGGCCGACATCGAGCAGCATCACGAAACACCAACAAGCCGTTTAGTTTGGCAAAGTACTGTTTTCTGAGAAATACACACAAGAGATCAGCCGCTTTACCAAAGCAGCTGATATCGACATCATCTGTGATATTACAAGAACCATGACAGTGACTTCCCAGAAGAGCAACTTTTTACTCAAGGTGAAACTCCAAAATGACGTCAACAACTTCATTACTGATGCGTATCACCACAACAGTATTTTGCAGGAAGCAGCTTCTTCGTCGCTCACACTCACTCGTTAACTAGCCAAAAATAACTGATACATAATGCAGAATGTTATTATATGGTTCTCTATTGTCCTTTTACCCTTTGTGTTTGTGTTGCCTCTTTTTTCTTCTCTATATGTAACATCGGCACCGAGTCAACACGTACGATCGTTATCTTCGTCTAACCTACGTCGGGGGTCGGCACATTGTGTATTCAAAGCAATCTAACCACCAAAACACTGCGGTCTGTAAGCCACAGCTGACATTTGTTTGTGTTTAGGTGCTGTGATGGGAAACGATGACGTCAGCGTGCTTCATGTACTGTCAGGGCGGTTAACAGCCCAACCTGAAAACAAACAATTCTCATTTCCCCTTCAACAGTCTGATCGCTGCTTGAGGTCATGAGCAACAATAGTTTTAAAGGGCACTCCAACAGCGATAAAGCTTTTATTATAAATCAAATGTTGCGGTGAATGCTATCAAACGTAAAAAACAAACAAACTCGTATTTCCTCAGAGTATTTCTGTTTTTAACTGACATGCAAATGCAACAAAACCACAGTGCGCCTTGTGAGTCCAGCTGTTATAAAACCCACACACTTACCGGCAGCTGATACGTCACGTGCAAAACAGAACAAACTGGGACATAGGTGGAGTTTTTACGTGATGACACGGCCTGCTCACTCTAAAAACGTTAGAAACAAAGCGATGCAATTGTGAAACTGCGGGGATCATTTCTCAACTTTAATTATTTGATTCTGTTTGAGGGCCAGATAAGATGATGGGTAATTTCACAGAATTTCCCTGAGATCTACCGAATCAGTTTCAGTGGTAACAGGTAGCTGACACACAGCTTGTGTGAACTGAGGCAGCCAGACGACAACAATCAAACTAACACATGTGGGCTGATTTTCTTGTGTAACTTTAAAGAGTAAAATAATGCCTTTATTAGTTGCACAATTTCACAATTACATAATCTTTGGAAACTGGTGGCAGCATTTGGAAATTTTCCAAATTAACGTTGGGAAACTGCATATTTGGACAGTCTTCATTATATGGAAAAGACTTGTGAAAAACACGTCTCTCTGTTCTGTTTCTGTTAAACATGTAACTTTGCCAGTTTAGTGTAAGCAACTCAATAATTCCAAGTAAAATATACCCACAAGTTTACTCTTCGGGTTTATATTTGACCCTGTCTACCGTGGTGTCGCTTTCTATCCAAAACAACATCAGCAAACCAAAAACTGCCCGTAAAAAGAGGCAAAGGACGCATGCAGACAAGTAAATGCAGCAACTGTTAAGCTTTGGACGCTGTTAGGAGACAGCTGAGATGAACTTCTTCAAAACAGAAATGTACTAAGAATGAGCATGATACCATCAAGAAATCAACTTCACAGACCACAAAATGAAATGCGTCACATTTCCAGAGAAGTTACAGCGGAAAAAGTCTAAAATTGAAGCCCCCCCCCAGGTCTGACTGCCTGCCAAACTTAACCTGATTCACTTTCTCAGCCACTCTGACAGGAAACTTTTCCTCCCCCTTCTGTCTCGGCTCCTCCTTCGCTGCAGTGGGCGTGCTGAGGGAACACAGAGCATGCAGATGTTGATGTTCCACAACGAAAGCTGTGCCCACATCCGCTCTGAACCGAGTCTCCCGCAGTCTACAGCAGGCTGTTCACACTTAACAGTAACACAGCAGGCAGTACTGCTTCTCGCCACTGGAGCTCGCAGATCAAGAACGGAGTTTAAACTTGGAGTCTGTAAATTTTAGTGTGAAACACACGCAGAAAATCGCATATTTAAATGAAATTAGAGAAACAGGTGTAACTTGACTCGTGACTCTGATTTATGGCTTTTCATACATTATAAGGAGCTTTTTCAACATTTCTCAGCGTGACTCCTTTCTCGTGTCCTGCAGAGTCAAATTTCCTCTGAAACATTTGAGGCAGGCTTTGAGTAAGCAGCTCCTGATACCTGCTCTTATAGCAACCTGACGCATTCACAGGCTGTGAAGCAGCCTAATAACAGGTCTGTCTCACTCAGGCGGCGGGCAAATGCTGAGTGCTTTTTACAGAAGTGTGCTCCATCATTAGCCTGCTCGTTGAAATTACTCCGAGAAATCAAGGATTGTTCAATTTAAACGGCCAGGACCAAGCGCTCTCTCGCAGCCTCACACACATACATGTCGACAGGAAGAGGGGAAGCAAGAGTGGCCCACTCTTCTTTAAGGAAATCTCTAAAATTGAATTCAAATCCCACCGACTGATGAAAAGTCTCGCTAATCATGCTTTTAGGTGATGCAACAGACACACTTTGCTCAAACGACACCGAAACGATCCAATGCAGACGTGCAGCAGCTACAAGCTGTTTCCTACTCAGGACTGGAATTCACCATATAGTGGCGACGTCATTCGATACATTGAAGCAACCTCTGGCGACGCGTCCACATAAAACGGTTACATTTGGTCTTTCTGGACTGTCTCCAAACGCCCAGCGCGCATTTCTCCTCCACTTGTCGCGTGAAATGACAGCTGTTTTTGCACCCACTCTACTATGAGTAACGACAGCACGCATACAAACAGTGGGGGCGCGCGCACGGTGCGCGAGACACAAACACAGAATGGAGACAAAAACGGCGAGCGTGTAACACACATAACTGCGTCTCACCTGTTTTGAGTCGTTTGAGTCTCTCGGCTGCAGCACCACCGCGCTGTTTCGTAGTAAATACGGCGGACGAGCTTTAAACCAGCGTGTAGAAGTTGTTTACAAAGTTTCACCGTGAATTCCGACACTCTGATTGGTCTGAGTAAAGTTTAGTCAACGCCCCAAACCTCGGTCACCGGGCCGAGTGTCAAACTTGTTTCCCGGACTCGCTGCATTCATGTAACACAGGCAAGGAGGCGAACGAGAACACTACGCTGTAAACGTGAAGTTTAATATGAAACGTGGAGGCGATCGCAGCAGATTGCCCACTTATATTTGCTTTAATTTCAGTTCAGTTGTATTTACACAGCGCCAAATCACAACAACAGTCGCCACAATGTGCTTTATATTGTAAGGTAGACCCTACAATAATAGATACAGAGAAACACCCAACAATCATACGACCCCCTATGAGCAGCACTTTGGCGACAGCGGGAAAGAAAAACTCCCTTTTAACAGGAAGAAACCTCCGGCAGAACCAGGCTCACAAATATGAACATACACACTTCAGTTCTTTAAGCCGTTGATATTGACGACCCTTGTGTGGTATTAAATGTCCGTATTTATTATGAATATTTATTTATTTATTTTAATTATGGTAGTTTTTATTTTAATGGAGAGAGACAGAATATCAAAAATCCAGAAAAAAATTACATGACAGTTATACATTTATTTGCATGAGTGAAATACTGTAATACTGTGCTCAGAATCAGTATCTTCCATTCCAACCTTCATTTCAGCCACCATGGGCAACACCAAAGAGCTGTCAAAGGAGGTCAGACTTGCACAAGGCTGGAATGGGCTACAAAGCCATCGGAAAGAAGCTCGGTGACAAGGTGACAACTACTGGTGCCTTTACTACTTTGTTGCAAGAAATATAAATGACCCATCAGTCACTCTCAGTCTGGAGCTCCTTTCATTTCTTGCTGCATGAAGCTATGATGATCATGAGAATAGTGGTGGATTAGCCCAAAACTTCATGGAGGAGCTTGCTATTGATCTGCAGGCAGCTGGGACTGCAGTCACCAAAAACACCATTGATAACACACTGCGCTGTAATGGCAGCCCCGAGGCCCATCTGCTCTAAAAGGCACATGTACCGGCCCGTCTTAAGTTTAGAAATGAGCATCTAATCATTCAAAGCATGACTGGGACAAAGTGCTGTGGTCACATGAAAACAAAATCAAGCTCTATCTGCCATGTTTGGAGGAAGAGGAAGGCTGTACATGGCCAAATGACACCATCTCCAGAGTATGGAGGCGGAAACAGGAAAAGGGTGCAGGATAGCTTCATGGCATTGAGGGGATCATGGACCGGGTCATGTACCGTAGAATATTAGATAAGTTATTTACATTACAGCCTCACAAGTGATTTATTACATGTGTGATGCACCTAAAAACCCAAAATAAGTAGTTGCAGGGGGAAGCGTTTAGAAGCACTGCTTTAGTGTTACTGCCCTAAGAAAAGTAGACAAAAGTGGAAACGTTGCCCCGAGGCAATGAACCAAAAATGTTATTTTAGTAAATAAATGAAATTAATGATTTTACAAACAAATACACTTCGGATACATTTCACATGTTCATGCATATGCCTGTATATTTTTTAAAATATAGATTTTCCACTTAAGCAGATTTAAAAATAAAGTTGGCCGTGACTCTGAACTTGATAAGGTGAAGAAAATGGATGTGTCCCATGCAGATGTGGTTCTGGAAAGAACTGTCCAACCCTTAGGTCAAAGGTCAAACATGCATTTTACTGAATAGCGATCTTCCCTGTGTGTATTTAATTACACATGTTGTTGGTGCTGTTGCTCCAGTGAATAAGGCAAGTTGTTAAAGTGCTTTAATTGCTAAGGTAGAGTAGAAAAGGGCCAGAGAAAGAACCAGTCCATTCACAATTTACCAGCCATATATGGGCAAATAAAATATTTAAGGAACAGTGCAATAAGCAGACATGCTGTGTGTTCCCTGAAGGCAACAGCATTCTACAGAGGGTTAAAAAGTGCTTGTTCATTCAAACAGAGAAATAAAAATAAGAATATCGTGGCAACATTTCTGTTAATTTCATGGTTCGAACCTTATGGCACTGCCATCAACGTCCTGCTGTTTGTGCACCAACCGTGTATCACAAACAAATATTTCATTAGCTTACAAGATGCTCAGCGCAGCCACAGTAATAAGAGAACTGCGTCATCTTAGGTTCCAGTTGTGCAATTTACTAGAATTTCTTTTGAAATGATCAGTAAAACTGATCAAATTGTCTGTCATCTAAAAAAGTTTGCGCTGTTGGAAGTAAACTGTTTATCACGACAACATTTTTCTGCTAGGATAAAATCACGAAGCGATGATTTTAAAGTACACAAAATACATATTTTGTATTACTAAACTGAATATTTTGACCACTAAACTAAACTAAACTAAACTAAACTAAACTAAACTAAACTAAACTAAACTAAACTAAACTAAACTAAACTAAACTATCGCTTCTATTCCTTCATTATCTTCACCATATATTACTTTCACAGACTGGTTGAATGTGCTGAATCCTGAGGCAGTAAATCCATAGATGAGCTTGAGTCCCACGACAATAACCTTTGCATATAAAATATTATGACCATTAAAAAAAATGACATTCTGCAAAATGTGTGCTTTTCCTTGACTGCTGTTTTGCTGGCAGTTAGAGCCCAGAGCCTACATTCATGCCTCAACATTTTATAATTAACATGCATGTCTTTGGACTTCAGGAGAAACCCTGAGCATCTAAACGTACACAGGGCGTGTACATGCTAACGCCACGCAGAAGCTTCTGCTTTGGACACAGAACCTTCTTCCTGTAGGCGACCATGCTAACCATTGCACCGCACTCTTGGCTGGTTTCAAAGGCCAAAGCTTTCAATTTTTGAAAGCCTTTATGTTGTGCTTGTATTCACAGGTAAGCAGATAAAACCTATTTAACAACCTCGTCAAGCTAAAGCAGGAGGAAGTCCATACAGATACACAGTGCATAGTGTCAGTTCAGTTCAGGTGCTTTTAGTGATCACACAAACATCCCAGCAGCAGATGAGCAGGTAATATAGTAAATGCTATACAGCACTAGCTCACAGACAAACAGAGGGATCTTTGCACAACAATTCTCACCTCACTCGAACCTGATGAACTTGATCTCATTCGACAGCGTGTCACCATCACTACATCACATGTGAAGCTGTGGTGTGAAAAACCTTATCTGTGTGCCTGCCCACTCATCGCACGGATGGAGACTTAATGAGAACATTCATAAACATTAGAATTGCTACAGATAAATAAATTCCTCTGATCATACTGATCCTGGACGCACGAGGCGACTTTTACACGCTGCTGGAAAAATATCAAAGACAAAACAACAAAATACGATCTTGGTCAGCAACTGTGTTAACAAGAGAAGGAACGAATGAATACAAAAACTGCTAATCACATTCAGTGAGGCTTAATCCTCCTGCCAATATGAACATCAGCTTATAGCGAGTTACGTGATCGATCGCCTCTTTAGTTTATGACTTCTTATCTGCTCATACAGCCAGCAGAATGCAAATGTTTATTAAATCAGCGAGCCCTTTTAGTTTTGAACAAACATTAAGAAAATGGTTTATGTTTTCCATTACTGATCCTCATGGGCGTATGACATCAACGCTGCGATAACGACGCCCACCGCTCTCCGTTTGTTTCAGTGTATTTCTCGAACCTCACGGAAGGCTCTGATTAATGAATATGAATTTCTACCTTGGTGGGCTCGCATAATAAGTGTGTTACAGACGAAGCATGGCCCGGCTTTGATAAGACGAAGTAATATTCTTGAAGATAAGCGCGAGTGAAGAAAAAGGCAATTCTTTACAGACGTCATATTCCTCATTTTAACTGGAAAATACAGAAATATGCCAAACAAGGGAAGTGTTGTGTTTAAAATCACATATAAAGCTTTTCATGACATTTCACACACGCATCCTCACATACCTCATACAATTTTTTGTCACAGTTTAGGAGCATTAAATATTTTATTCTAAATGCTGATTACAGGAAATAAGATCATTTATGGAAATGAATACTTTGGCTCGTGATCATTTCTGATATAACAGTTCTGCAGATGAAATGCTGCTGAAATGATATGTTTCATGGCTATATCCTGCTGTTCTGCTGATGTGTGTTCAGAAATGAAGGTCGGAGTTTGACGAGTCTGACGAGAGCGCGCAGATGTCATCGGCAAAATGACGAACCAGCAAAAGCAAACGCAAAGAATAAATACGCTGTAAATATACGCTGAACTAGTGAGGACAGGTTTTACTAATCAAAATCTATATCCTTTTCAAATGTGCTTTATTGTTGTTCAGCAGAGGCCGTGGTGATTGTGGACAATTTCATCATGTACCAGCTCCGCAGGGCTTAATCCCACCTAGAGAGGTGGTTGCAAGATGGCAAGCACATTCTTTGATTGCACTGTTTTCAGGGCCATTCAGCTCCTCTGGGTGAAGCACAAAGTGAAGCAGGTGGACAGCAGCATGGTGTCCTGGATTACAGGCTATTTAATTGACAGAAAGTGCTGTTTGGCCTCCTCCAGAGCATTGTGGTGGAAATGCTGCAGAATAAAAAGGAGTCTCACAGGGAATCGCACATTTCAGCTTTCATTTTCACTCTCCACACAGTAGGCTTCAGATTCACTTCAAGCCAGTGTCATCTCCAGAGTTTCTTTTGATGACTCTTTTGTTGTAAGATGTGCCATACAGGGGAAAAAAAGTAAATCCTGCATGAAATGAAAATTGGAACTAGCGCTGGACACACATCGGGACAATGGGCACGTTGAATCCACTCCTCCTTCAGTTACAAAGTGTTTGCAGGAGTTGGTACTAATAATAGTGCAGCATTTCAAAGCTTCATGACATCAAAATAATAATTAAAAAGTAAATGTGATCCGGGAGATATCCACTCGCACTCACCTTTGCCTGATATGCTGTTCTGTTGTTTTCTACCAAAACATCTGCTACTGGTAAGGACTGGATTCTACTTTGGATTCTATTCATTTGAAATTCATTATAGATGATCAGGTTCT